TGGCTAGCTGTAAGAAGACAGAGGGTGGTGGTTGATGGGAAATGTTCATCCTGGAGTTCAGTTACTAGTGGTGTACCTCAAGGACCTGTTTTGGGGCCACTGCTGTTTGTCATTTTTATAAATGACCTGGATGAGGGCATAGAAGGATGGGTTAGTAAATTTGCGGATGACACCAAAGTCGGTGGAGTTGTGGATAGTGTGGAAGGATGTTGCAGGTTACAGAGGGACATAGATAAGCTGCAGAGCTGGGCTGAGAGGTGGCAAATGGAGTTTAATGTGGAAGAGTGTGACATGATTCACTTTGGAAGGAGTAACAGGAATACAGAGTACTGGGCTAATGGTAAGATTCTTGGTAGTGTGGATGAGCAGAAAGATCTCGATGTCCATGTGCATAGATCACCGAAAGTTGCCACCCAGGTTGATAGCGTTGTTAAGAAGGCGTACGGTGTGTTAGGTTTTATTGGTAGAGGGATTGAGTTTCAGAGCCATGAGGTCATGTTGCAGCTGTACAAAACTCTGGTGCGGCCGCACTTGGAGTATTGCGTACAGTTCTGGTCACTGCATTATAGGAAGGATGTGGAAGCATTGGAAAGGGTGCAGAGGAGATTTACCAGGATGTTGCCTGGTATGGAGGGAAGGTCTTATGAGGAAAGGCTGAGGGACTTGAGGCTGTTTTCATTAGAGAGGAGGTTAAGAGGTGACTTAATAGAGACATACAAGATGATCAGAAGATTAGATAGGGTGGACAGTGGGAGCCTTTTTCCTCGGATGGTGATGGCTAGCATGAGGGGACACAGCTTTAAATTGAGGGGTGATAGATATAGGACAGATGTCAGAGGTAGGTTCTTTACTCAGAGAGTAGTAAGGGCGTGGGATGCCCTGCCTGCAAAAATAGTAGACTTGCCAACTTTAAGGACATTTAAATGGTCATTGGATAAACATATGGATGATGATGGAATAGTGTAGGTTAGATGGGCTTCAGATTGGTTTCACAGGTCGGCGCAACATCGAGGGCCGAAGGGCCTGTACTGCACTGTAATGTTCTATGTTCTATCTGCTCCACTATCTACCTGCTATCACCGTGCCCCCTCTCTATTTATTTCAGAGCCCCGTTCCCCTCCCCCATTTCTGAAGGGTCCTGACCTGAAACGTCAGCTTTCCTGTTCCTGTGATGCTGCCTAGCTAACTCCACACCTTGTTATCTCAGACTCCAGCATCAGCAGTTCCTACTATCTCGGACACAGTTTGCAGTTGTTGGAGATCAATCATCTCACCCCCAGGACATCACTGTAAGCAGTGTCACTCAAGGTCGTGAGTTAGTCCCAGCCATCCTTAGTTGCTTCATCAATTACCCTCCCCTCATTATATGGTCTGAAGTAGGGATGTTCTTTGATGAATACACGACATTCAGAATGAGTGAGTCAAGACTCTCCAAATACTCAAATAGTGCACGTCGAAATGCAGCAATATCTGTACGACACCCAGACTTGGGCTCGTAAGTGCCAAGAAACATTTGTGCCACATGTGCCAGAAAATGACCGCCTCAGAGAGAACCTAATCGTTGATCCTTGACGTTCAATGGTATTAAAGTTGACGAATCTCCTATCAACATTCCAAGAGTTACCACTGACCAGAAACTGAACTGAATGAGCCATAGAAATGCAGCGACTGCAAGACAGGTCAGCAGCTCAGAATACTGTGGTGAGTAACTCATCTCCTGTCTCTCCAAAACCTGTCCACTATTTACAAGACACAAGTCAAGAGTAAGGTGGAATACTCTCTATTTGTCTGGATGGGTCCTTCTCCAAGAACATTCAAAAAGCTTGACACCATCCAAGACAAAGCAGCACTATTTATTGGCATCAATCCACCACCTTCAGCATTCAGTTTCTTTCCCACTTAACATGGTGGTGACAGTGACAGCAGTCCAGGCTATCAGATGGCAGTGTGTACCATCTACAAGATGCACTACAGTAACTCAACAAGGTTCTTCTGGCAACGTCTTCTAAACCTGCAACTGCTACCAACTAGAAGGACAGGAGCAGCAGATGCACAGGAACACCAGCACCTGGAAGTTCCCCTCCAAGCTATTCACCATCTTGACCTGGGAACATATCACTGTTCCTTCGCTGCTGCTGGATTAAAATCCTGGAATTCCCTTTCTAACGATACTTGGCCATTTCTATACCCCAAGAACTGTCATAGCTTAAAACAGCAACTCACCACCACCTTCTCCACAGCATTTAGGGATGGGCAATAAATGCTGGCTGAGTCAACAATATCCATATCCCACGAATGAATAAAAACAAATTGATGTCCATTTCTGAAGAAGGGTCTAGGCCCAAAGCATCAGCCTTCCTGCTCCTCTGATGCTGCTTGGCCTGCTGTGTTCATCCAGCTCTATACCTTGTTATCTCTGATGACCTTACTATCGCTTTCATGTTGCCATTGCTATCCACAATCATCAAAACTCTGGTTCACAAATATTCTTTATGAGTGGAAATCTGCTGTTATTATCTGATCTGGCTTATATCTGATTCCAGACCCACAGCAAGTGTCTTCCAAAATGGTTTACCACTCAGGTCAAGGGCAATTAGGGATGGGTAATAAATGCTGGCCTTTCCTATATTCTGTGAAAGAATAAAATTGAAGCAAAATTTGAACTATTCCCACAACCCCTTCACTGCTTTGTTATTATCAGACTGCTTATCCATCATCCAGGCTTGGTCAAGTTGCAATGTGCTCAATTTAAATAATGGGGTAGACAAGGTTGTTAGCTTTGATTCCTAGTCACAAACATTCAACTTTTACCAACAATTCCACCCCTTATCTAAACAGGCTGTACCAGATTGCAGTAAACTTTACTGTCCTAACAGAGATCAGGGGCTTCTGAACTCATCAACACAGAATGCCCACTTCCACCTTGAGTCAGCCTTCATCTCCACCATCACTTCAATATACTTGCTGCCAAAACTCTTCTCCATGCCTTTTGTCAATCCCAGAGTGCAGTGCACTATTCCAATATTCTCCTGGCCAACTACCCATCTTCCATCATTCAGAAGCTGCAGTGTTACTAAACCTTTGCTGTCTAAATACTACAAGAACTATGCCCCACTGGTTCAACACCCCTGCACACAATAACCTACTCTGGGAGTACTGCAAACCAACACTACAAATGTAAAATTTTCATCTATGTTCAAATCTCTCAGCTATCTTGCCTATCCTCATGTGTCGCTCCATCCAATACTACAACCATTTGAGGACTCTACATTCCTCCAATTGTGGACTCTTCTGCACCTCCTGTCCGCTGTACCCCAGCACTGACAGCTGTGCCTTCAATCCTGTGGACTCCAAGCTCTCCTCATTCTCCTCCTTCAAGACTCTCCTTAATACTTACCTGTTTAGTCACTTGCTATGGCAGCATCAATCTTTGTATGGTTGTTTATTTTCCCTTAACTGCATTCAAGACATTTCACGAAGTTAAAGGCACTATAAAAATACAGTTGTATTTTGAACTGTTGTATACAGTTACAAATTAACAATGACTACATGGACAAAGTAATGGGGTGTGACTGGCAGAAGTGAAATTATACTTCAATTAAAAAAAAGTGAGAGAAAAACCAAAAAAAAACTGAACAACTACACTTGGTAACTCAATACCAGGATCCCATACAAATTACTTGCAACAAGGTGTGGCTGCAAACTTTTTTTTGGAGAACTGTTTTTAGGGCATCGTTATGGCAACAATGTGGTCAGAAATAAACAGGTACAAACATCAAAATGGAAGAAAATTTTATAGAAATTACCAGCCCAAATATTACGCTAAGTGAGCAGATTGCACGTTTATTAGGGAGTCAGTGTGGCAGGCTGTGACTAACTCCAGAATGAAACAGAAAAACTGACACTTAAATAGAAACAGGTCTACAATTGCTAGTGAGAGTTTAAAAAGAAGTGACAATTAAGATTTTCCTTTCAGGAGCATGGATTATTACATTCGGATGTGTGGTAGACCCAGGTGGTGTTTGGCTGCTGAGATGTGTCAAACATTATTGAACATTACATTTATAAATAATGCATTTTTTGAAATACAACTTAGGGCCCCAATAGTAACCACCCTAGATAAAAGAACATTTCTGGCCGGTCAGGAGAGCAAAGAGAGATTCAGAAGTTCAAGTCATATTTGGAGGTGAAGGTGAAGAGAAGACTATTGTATGCTGGATCGCATGCTACCTTCTCTTTTTCCTGAAGTGCAGGAATAAATACATTTTAGCATTGTCCACACGAGTAAATGAACACAAACAGCGAATCTGCACAGTCATTAATCAGGAATCGCTGCCCGGGCTCGTTCTCGGTTGAAAAAAAACTCAAAAATTTAAACTGGGAACACAGAGGACAGAAAAGGACGATTAACACCATGCGCAGAGTTTAAATTAATTTCGCAACCGCACTTCCCAGAAAACGTTCAAAAAAACCTTCAAAGCAAAAAAAAAGACAAAAAAAAACCAAAGACGCATCAAGAAAAGATTATTGGGAGAGTCAAACCATAGGAACAGCTCTAATAAATGAGGCCAGTGTCTCGGGGAAATAAAAATCACTAGAGAACAATTTCCCGAGATCAGCAGCTTCAAGGGTGAGGCAGATTGTGAATTAACAGGGAAACAAAATCCAATGTTAGCACTGTTTGTTTTCTTGAACAAAAAGAAGCCGAATGAGCGGAGAGTAGTTTATAAAGCCAGGGCAAACGGCTTGGGAGCGTTTGAATGGATCGTGTGTATCTCGTGAAACGCTTTCACACTATCCTCACTCGGCACTTCCCCCGGGGATCACAGCGCTCTTATCCCACGTCCCCTCTCGCAGCCCTCGGCTTGGCGTTCACTCCCCCTCCCTCAGTATCGCAACCTCCGGGACTACTCTCAGGAGAGGTGTGAGAATACAGGGTTAGTGTTAGGGGAATAGGAAATCCAGAGGTTCTTCACCGCAGCCAGCGCCCCCACACTTACCCCAACTGACCACCAGAAGCAGCAGCAGCAGTGAACGCTCCATCCTCTCCCAGGATCTGTCTTTCTGGCAAACACTCCCCGAAGAGAGAAAAAAAATCCCTCCCCCTCTCACTCACTCTCAACTGGAGCCTTTCCAACAGCTCACTCTGTCTCCAGGTGGCACTTCTAGCAAAATGAGCCAATTCCAGACAGAAACTCCAAACTTCTTTTTTTAAACTTAAACTTTATCTACTGCCAAAAAGTTTATTTTATCCTTGGGAACGGGAAAGCCCGAAACAAACTTTAACAGTCAAACACTTGGAAAGTTTCTGACCCTTCACTACAAAATCCAGACGGAAACACCCCGGAACTTCCCCTTCTTTCAGGTAATTGGCTCCGTTAAAATGGGAGGGCAGAGACGTCAGGCGACACTCTCAAAAAAAATCAAATAATTGCAATCCTGCCTCATGGGATTTTTTATTTTCTGCAGTTGGAAGATAGGTTATTTGTTCATGTTCATCCCTTCGTTGGAAAGCATTGGGATCAATGCACATTATGATTCGGTTGCTGAGACTTAGTATCACTTCCTCTGCGAACATTCGCCTCATCCTGCAAATAAGTGTTTAAGACATCCTAATTCAAATTGGGCAACTAGCATGGTTTTGCCCTGGATGGATGTTGTGCAACATAAAATCAATTCACACAGAAAGAAAAAGCAATCGATCTATTTTCCTGCAATCACAATCGATTCACACTCCTAGGGTTGAAGGTTCAAACCCCACGTCTCAGACTTGAACCTAATAGGTAAGCACTGAAGAAGTGCTAAACTGGGAGAGGCATGATCCCTCAGATGAAGGTAAAAGGTAAATAGACACCTTGGCATTATTGGGAGAAGAGCAATGGAGTTTTCCCATTGTCCTGGATAAAACGTATCCCCCAACCAACACCAAAACTGGTAACCTGATCCTTTGTTTCGTTGCTGTATACAATTTGATTGCTACATTGCCTCCAATTCAACAGTGACTAAATTTCAATTCCATCTGTGGATGATTACTGAAATTTATTTGAACTGTTTGCTGACACCATAACACATGACATAGACTTTTTGAGTATCATGGTTAATTCGATCTGAGCTCAACCAGATAAATTAATACAGCATCAGTTCCCAAATTAATTGCATGTTTTTTGCTTTCACTTCTCTACCTAGCAGAATTTGACTTTTACTCATATGGACACGATTCTTTCTATGTTACAATTTAGGTTTTTTAAAAAAGAAATTATCCTCTTAACATCCTTCACTAACTTATAAGTTATCAACAGATCATTTTGCAGCCACCTTCTTTAAAAGGTGAAAAATACAAGTTGGTACAGCCTTTTCTTTTGCCTCAAACCTTTAACACTCGGGGTTTAACTTTAACTGGCCCAGTAAGAAAGAACCACCATTTTTACATCATTGACTTTATTGGCATGTAAAAACACATACTGAGTAAAACAGTTTGTTGATCCAATCCCATCAGTTTTCTACTGGGTAGATTACCTTTTAATTAGCCCTAAGGAACCATTTTTATATCTTCTCTCTGGATTCTTACCAATGTTATATGTGCTCTTAATGTTTTAATGTTTAGGTTTGGGCACATTTTGTAAAGTGTGGTCTAGCCAGAACACTATTCCTGTCATCCCTTCACAGGATGTGGCAACATTGGCTAGACCAGTATTTATTGCCCAATCCTTAATTGCCCTTAAGAAGCTGCTTTTTTGAAATACTGCAGTCCCATTGGTGTAGCAACACCCACTGTGCTGTTAGGAAAGGGCTGTAGGATTTTAATCCAGTGACAGTGATGTATGGCTTGGAGGTGAACTTGCAGGTGGAGGTGGTGCCCATTGCAGTTATTCATGCCCCCTTCTAACTTATATTCTAATATTTTGGCTGTACAAAGCAGCATTCTGTTTGATTTGTTGATTGCTATCACATAGGGATTGAACATGAGCTACATCACATTTACTAAAATGAATAGGTCTTTTACATTTCCCTGAGCTATTTCAAAAAATTCCATGGAGTACATATATTTTTCATTTTTTTGTTTCTGTAGACAGTGCTTTACATTTACCTTATGAATCCTTACCTTCTGTTGTTACATTTATTTACATAGCTTGCCAAATGATTTTATAGGTCCAGAGCAAGTTCCTTCTTGTGATAGGTTTGTGTGACTGATCCATGTTATTAATCCTACTATGAGACAGTACGGATTTGCAGAATAATTCCTTAGACTCACCACCCAGCATTTCTTACACCAGCGTCTTTCACACCTAACTGCCTGTTAAAAAAATAGTTTCATGGTTTTTGTCTATTTCAAAATGTCTCTCAAGTTTCCCTTGAGTTCCTGTTGTCTGTAACTAATTAGTCGTCTTCCATGTAGAACTTGGTCAAGTTGCATCGAGTTGGAGGGTTTCCACAGTTACCACTTCCTCAAGTTGCACCTAGATGCTAAAAGCAAGGAGACCTATAACAAGTTCACAGCTTGTAAAAGAAACTAAAAGCAGGACCTTCTCTGGCTTAATGTGGAGGTAGAAGTTATACATGGGTGATCGAAGGTCATCAAGGAACTAAAAATTGTTAAAGATAACTATTAAATGAAGACACTTATGGGCTTTCATTTTAATTCAACTCCATTCCAATTTATTGTCCATATGGAAATTCATTTTGGGCACATTTTGTTACATATAGCTGTATAAAAAAACAGTAAAAAAAAAGAGAATTATTCAATCAAAGAGATTTAACTTTAATTTAAAACTATTTCAATGCATTAGAATAATTTGTCAGTAATTCCCACACTTGGTACGTATCCTCAAACGTACAACAAAGTGCTGCTAAAAATGCCTATAAAGAAGGGCCCGTACAATTTGTAAAACCAATCTGTCCTGCATCTGAAGAGTTGTTGCCTTCTCCCTCACAATGAGATAAGGATCATAATTCCTGACACTCTTTCATCAAACTTCTTCAACAGCAGATTTCATCAAGAAAAATCTACTCAACAAATGCCCTGTCTGATTCAATACTTTCATTTATTCATTCACGAGATGTAAACCAGACTAGCATTTATTGCCCACCACTAATTGCCCTTGAGAAAGACATAATAAGCTGCTTCCTTGAACCCGCCAATGTCTTCTGGTTTACCCCTATGTTGCTGTTGAGGGATTTCCAGGATTTTGATCCAGCAACAATGAAAGAGTAACAATATTGTCCCAAATTACGTTGATATATGACTCAGAAGGGAACTCGCAAGTGATGGTGTTTCCATACATTTACAGCTTCTTGAACATTGTTGGAGCTTTATCCATTCAGGCAAGCGGAGAGTATTCCATCACACTCTTTGTCGATGGTGGACAACAGCGCCAGGCAAGATATCCACAAAGAATAATGCTCTCAGCTACTGCTGTAGAGAAAGGCTTAAAGTTTAGAGGATCTGCTCAAAAGGATTTTAATATTCTGAGGTGACATAATTGTTTGTTCCTTTGCCACTGCATCTGAATATTGTTCCATCCTCTCATAAAACGTTTCAATAAAAGACTCTTTACTAATCACGAGATAACATTTGCAAAACTGCAGTCAAGCAGGCTGGACGAAAGGAGGAGAAATGAGAGGAGGGAAGAATAAATAAAGAAATGAGATACATTAAGGAAGAAGGACACACAAGGAGATAAATCGCTAATATTATCACTTCTTATTTTCCTAATCAACCTGTTCATAGATGTTATTACTCATCTCGTGAGAAGGTGGGACTTGAACCCAGATCTCCCAGTCCAGAGGTAGGGACCTGTCCATTGCACCCCAAGAGCCCTCAACATTAATATTAATTGGCTAGCCCTGCAGAATGTTATCTATAGTTTGTCATTTGTACTTGTTCTTTTGTACAAATCAAGGCCTGAAATTCTTATGCCAACATATTTGAACATTTGAACTACAGGAAAACTGTACAGTAAATGACAAATGGGACCTTCAGTGCCCAAAGGTGTGTAGCTTTAAAAGAAATTGCTTCATTCAGTTTTACACTGTGATAAAAACTGATTCGTTTAATAGTTTCAACTGCAATCATAATATAACATTCAAGTCTATAACAGGATTAAAAAAGAAAAAAACAATGCATTTCAACATACACAGTTTCAGTTCATGGACCTTCTGATTTATTATCTTAGGTTCTTATCATACCACCTTATTTCTCGCAGAATAAGTTTCAACCAGTTCTCAGCTTCTTGTATGAAATGATTGTAGAAAATTTCAGAATTTAATTCTCAAGCACAATTACTTGACACACGTCAATACAGTTATCAATGGAGATATCACTCAAATCATTTAACAATACTGGACTGGTTTATCACTGGGCTAATTCCATGCAATAACCTAGATGTCATAAAGCACATTCATATGCAGTTATGTTCTGGTCCATTCAATTCCCAAAGGACTGAAGAAGGTGAATGGAACAATTGATTCCCACACGTATACGTTATGGATCACTGCAGATGACAGTTGAATCCATTTACTATGCCTTTGTCTGATGTTTATCTGAACCCAAACAACAACAGACATAGACAGAATCATTCTGTCTCTTTTTTTTGTTCATTTCCATCAATAGAGCCTTGTTTTTAGTATAAACAGTGATATCAACGTCATCATATTCCTGTCATCTTCCAGCCAGTGAAGTCATTGGAAAAATGAAGAAAGACTTTATGTAGGTTTAGTAAACAAAGGACAGCAATGTAATAACATGTCACAAGATGCCTTAATATGAGTGAAAACACAGGGGAAACTGGAAATGGGCCAATAGATATTATGGATGGGTGATGGTGAGTTTTGTGTCGAGGACTGATGACTGTATTTTTGAGGGTGCAAGACTTGTGCCAGAGAAGGGGCAACTGTTGAAGGAATGTATCAATGTCAAGCACCATGAGGACTAGGAAGAGCAGTTCAATGCCAAAAAAATGAATAGGGAAAGGATATCACAGGAGAAGAGTTTGGAAAGGTTTAAAAACTTCATTAATGGTGAGAGTTCAGAATTGGTTGTTAGAAAACTGAGGGGATGTGGGCACCAATGAGGAAGAAGGAGGGAAGGAAATAACAGATACGGAGGTAGAGTTGCTGAAAATAAGGCAGTCAAAGGTAAAGGTGCAACAGTGGTTCAATACATCTATTGTAGCAGAAATGCAAGGATGTTGAAAAACTAAGGAAGAAAAGGCAAAAAAAGTCTTGTGAATTAGGGATTGAATTCATGGAAGGAGTAGAATTATTATTTTATGTCAAGATAAGTGACAGTGTGGATGGTAATAAAAAGATCAGACCAGGAATCATTCTTGCTGAACAAGTTATCTCATTTGAGTATTGACAATCCATTGCCTGCGGACAA